ATTAAAACACATGTCGGCATGGAACTTTCATATACCGTTAAAAACTTACATAATATTTAACATTAATATCTAGCAATTTTATAGAATGTTATTATTAATTATTATATATAATTTACTCAGGCGCTGTTGCTGTACGTGTCCCCCGCGTACTGATCTAGGTTCAGTTTTAATTAAGAAGAATTTTCCGCTTTCTATAAGTGTAACCGATGAAGAACTGATCTCAGATCAGCGGTGCATGTGACTTCAGCAGGACTCAATTCATTACATATAGAGCGCACATAAAATAAAACACAACATTACGATTATGTAAATTTGAAGAAACTGTTTTCGGATGAACTGCCTGATTTATAATCGCTGATATGACTACTATTTTATTCAGGCAGACGCAGGGCAGCCGCTGTAAAGGACCCAGCCGTTCCTCTAATGTTATGATTGTCGGCGCTGTGTTTGCTCAGTGATAATAGTAATTATAATAATCTGTTTGTCTCGAGTTTCTCTTAATTTCTGCTGATAAAATGCCCTTGTTTGAGGGCCTGGGCAGCGGAGGAGAAAAGACCGCGGTGGTGATTGATTTAGGAGCGGCCTACACGAAGTAAGTGATGATTGACAGCTTACAAACACACACAGATGACGAGAATCTCTATCTGGATTGATTAATGTTGAATATTGATTAGCCAGAAGATGAAGAGCATCTCTAACTCTTTATTTCGGTTATTAATGACGAACACAGTGCTTTCAGAAACACACAGTCGGTTATTTACTGTGGTTAACGTGCTAATGATGATCTAAATGTCATTAATAATACAGGGTTTCTGCCAAAATCCAAGTTTAAGACTCTTTTACGATCATCGTAAGTGAAAATATACAGGGCTAAATCACGCTATTTTTAATTGACCCATTAATAATGTGTTAGCCACATGTGTTAAACAGTGGCAAGGCTAGCAAACACTATTTGTAAAGATAGTGTACACTGTTTACAATGCTTCAATTAGTTTGAAAAGCTTTTAAAATGTAATAAGTGCACAACAGCAATAGAGGTAAAGTTGAATTTATATTCGCACATTCTGCTTAATCATATTCAATTCAATTCAGCTTTATTTGTACAGAGCTTTTACAATGTAGATTGTGTCTAAGTAGCTTTACATAAATGGTCATAGTAACTGGAACAGGGTAGTTCAGTTTTTAGTGTCTAAGTTTTGCTCAATTAAACTAAATATAATGTCAGAAAAGAATGCTTTGCTAATTTTAAATAGTAAAATCATTTTAGCAGTCAATGACTAACACAGTACAACATTGTTCACAATCAATTACATAGTCATAGATGTAAAATTGGTTTTATATTCGCACGTATGTTCATTTAACGGTCTCTGTATTGTTTACCATGTTACTTTTGAATATTCAATAGGAATTATCATGCCAGCATGACTTCTAAACAACATTACTGTCTAATTGACTGTGAACAATGCTGTGCTTTGATAGTCATTTGCTGCTAATATGATTTCACTATTTAGAATTAGCAATGAATACTTTTCTGACATTATATTAGTAAGGAGAATGTCTGAATATCCCAATATAAACCCAACTTTACCTCTACACAACATGTCCAGCTCAGTGTCCTCAGCATAAACAGGCTATTATACTCTTATACAAATGTTATTTTGAGGAAGATAATTAAACCATGTTGGTAAATACAGTTATAAATGGAGTTTTTGGTGTTGGTTTGCTTTATTAAGATGGGCTCTTGGTGATTGAATAGGTGTTTGATAGCCCTGGGTAGTAGCTCTACATGGATATAGACTAATTAGGACCTGCTAAAAACGATTAACACAGTATATCAGTAAGTTTAAGACTTTTTTTAAGGCCCAAAATTATATATATATATATCTTTTAAATATTATACCATGTAATAAAGGAGCATTATGACATATAGCATTATGAATTAATCTGGTGTAAAGTTGCTGTTATTACAGAATGTGATAGTGTAAAAGTGTAAAAGCTGTTCTCTTTCTCAGATGTGTTTCTCTCCACAAATTACAAACAACTGTTGTATTAAAGCATTTGTTTGTATTACATGTTACCAAAATGTTAAAAAAAAACAATCATCGCACAGAAAGAATGCATTTATTATATATATATATATATATATATATATATATATATATATATATATATATATATATATATATATATATATATATATATATATATATATA